AATTCATATTATGATCGCAATAATCAGTATATGTATCTCTATACTTTATATTAATTTACCGAATTTTACTGTATGATTTAAATCTGAAACTCACATCTCGATTCGTAAGAGACTCACATAATCATCAAATTATTGATTAGGTAATTTAATGTATTAAACTCATAATAAAACCTACACATATAAAAATAAATCACATAAATCTTGAACAGAAAAAGAAATGATCACAAGTCGACTACATTATTTTTCCTAATATAAAAATTAGTTTCTCATATCGTAAAAATAAAAATACACAAAAGTGGAAAGATATCACCAAAAATTGAAGAAACATGAAATTTCTCGTGTATGCGGTCTTTTTTCTTCTTTTCTCTCTTCTTCTTCTTCTTTTCTTTCTTCTTTTTCTCTGCAGCTTTCCTTGCCGTCTCTTTCTTCCTATATGTGTATTCTCTTTTCTCCCTTTTTTTCTCTCTTTTCTTACCTTTCTTTTGTCTGCCATGCGTGAATGTGTGTGTATATTTATATATATAATTAGGCATTCAATTAAAATTTTCAATGCAAGTCCATTTAATTCCAACTCATACATTGTACTATTTCACTCCAAGGTTTCATATTTGGATTTTGCCATTTTTCGTCATTTTTGCATTCTTTTCTCCAATTCTTCATTAAACATAAAGTTTACCTACAAAATACAATATAACATAAATTAGGTGAAATGTTATCTAAACGAAAATAAAATATCATGATTTATGGTCTCAAACAAGTGTAGAAACTATACTTATCACACCCTCGAACTTGAATCTTTGTTTGTCCTCAAACAAAACTAAAACCTAACAAACACACAAATAAACAATGCTAATTACCCAATTGGTGACAGTCAATCAAGTAAAATAATAAGATTTAGCTAGCTAACATAAATTTTTATCTCGGGATTGAAATCATAATATCAAATCAATGTACAGCTTCAAAATCACAATACAAAAACTAAAATTCACTTTTCTAATGTAAAATCGACATGTGTGTGTATGTCGAATTAAACATAGCATTATGAATTCGTAAGTTGTTTCAATTTTCGACCCTCGATGGTCAAATATGTTCTTTCATCAATCGTAAGATTCACCCACCCAAACTTATTCTTTTCGCTCTTTTCCAGTGTGTGAACTAAGATTAGATTTTCTACTATCCTCACCTCTCTAATTTAGGTAAATCTCATCAATTGCAGTTCAATATGACAATAAATAAGGATTCCCAAGTAAGTTTGATTGCTTCGATCTCTAATATTTAACTAGTCTAACAATCTCTTATTAAAAATTGAATTTTTTAAAACAAGTGTTAGAGACTTAATCAAGGCATTTGATGCGTCTTCTGTTTCATGCACATGCTTTTTTGAATTTTTTTTAGAAATTTATTTTCTTTCTTTGAAGCATTATCTTCCTTAATCTTTCTAAATGATCAATGTAACAAGCTTTCGATCGATAACTCCCAAGTCAGATGATCATAGGGCACCATATTTTAAAAACCCTTGCAGACTTAATTGCTTGAGTCATAAATGCTACGAAGAGAAAATTTTTAATAAAATATTTGTTACGCATTGATTAGTGCAA